GTAAAGCAAAGGACACAGTGGACAATACCAAACGGCAGCCCACAGACTGGGAAAAGATTTTCACCAATCCTATATCCGAATTCTATACAAAGAACTCAAGAAACTAGTCAACAAAACACCAAATAACCATATTAAAAATGGGGTACAGAACTGAAGAAAGAATTCTCAATAGAGGAAATCAAAAAGGCTGAAAGACACTTAAGAAAATGTTCCACATCCCTAGCTATCAGGGAAATGCAAATCAAAACAACTTTGAGATACCATCTTACTCCTGCCAGAATGGCTAAAATTAGAAACACCAATGATGACTCATGTTGGAGAGGATGTGGAGAAAGGGGAACACTCCTCCACTGCTGGTGGGAGTGCAAACTCATACAGCCATTTTGGAGATCAGTATGGCGGTTCCTCAAGAAAATGGGAATTAGTTTACCACAGGACCCGGCAATCCCCCTCTTAGGCATATACCCACAGGATTCACATCCATGCAACAAAGACATGTTCAACTATGTTCATTGCAGCACTATTTGTAATAGCAAGAACCTGGAAGCAACCTAGATGCCCCTCAACTGAAGAATGGTTAATGAAGATGTGGCACATCTACACAATGGAATACTACTCTGCAGGAAAAAAAAAACTGGTATCTTGAAATTTGCAGGCAAGTAGATGGCACTTGAAGAAACCATCCTGAATGAGGTAACCCAGTCACAAAAGAGGAACACAGTATGTACGCACTCATCTATGGATTTTTAGACCTAGAGCAAAGGTTCACCAGCCTATAATTAACACCATCAGAGGAACTAGGATATAAGGTGTATTCTAAGAGATTCATATAAAGTCCCTCACAGAACTGGGAAGGGACAAGTCCCCCAGAGCTCAGGGGAAGTGGGGGTGGCCAGGGAATGGAGAGAGGGTGGGAGGAAACGAGGGGGAGGAAAGGAAAACATGTGCGACCAGGAAGATTGAGCCTGGTTAGGAATAAAAGACAGGAAAGAGAGAGGGAGACAGAGAGAGCAAGAGAGAACATAAAAGAAGAAGCCAATATTGGTTTGAAGATAAAATTGAACACAAAGAAAGGTCTAGAGAACTACAAGACGGCTGCCAACTAACAATTTGAGATTCCATAGAAAGGCTACCATAAATGCCCTTCCCGGAGAGTGAGATCAACAACTAACTTATCCATGGAGCCCTCAACTAATGCCTGTTGGAAACAGGAGCAAACATCCATACATAACCACTGAGTTGAAGTAGAACTCAGATGCAGATGGAGAGGACAAGACCAGGCTGCAGAAACACATAGAGACAGCTTACCTGAACAAGGAGGAGCTAATGGGCCACCAGACTGATGGCTGGGAAACCATCATGGGACTGATTCATGCCCCCCTGAATATGGGTCTCAGCCAGAAGGACTGAGCAGTCTAAGGGACCTCAGACAGTGGAGCCAGGATGTATCCCTGGTGCACAAAAGGACTTTGAGAACACATCCCCCATGGAGGGATATCTGCCTTAATCTAGAGACAGGAGAGAAGCCCTAGTCCCTACTTCCCATGACCTGTCTGACCTACATGATCCCAACTGGATGGCATTCCCTTCATACGGAATTTGGCTGGGGGGATTGGAGGAGAGGGTGGTTAGAGTGTATGTGAGAGGGCAGAGAGGGTAAAAGGGAGGAAATGAGGGAGGGAGAAAGGGAGAGAGGGAGGGGAAGGAAAGGGGGAGGGAGGGAGAGGGAACTGGGATCGACATGTAAAATAATAAATTAAATTAAAAAAAAATGCTTTGACTCCAAAATTTAAGTTGAAGGACAAGTTACTGGGGGAAAAGGATTTCTATTTTTGTTTCCACAGAAAATGAAAAGATGTGGATTCCGTCCAGACTAATGTGGTTTGATCAAGCCATACCACCTCAAACAGAGTACCAGGTGATCCTACATTTAAAACAGCTGAACAAACAGCCTTACAGACAACAGCCAGGATTTCTGAATCTTCTTAGAATCCCCCATGACAGCATCCCTTACCAGCAGGAAGTAGTTTGGAAAGACCAATGCCCAAGTTTCCAAATATTGTCTATAAATGTTTGTTTTCATTTAAATGGACTTGGTTATATAAAATAAAATAAAAAAAGAAACACCAATGATGACTCATGTTGGAGAGGATGTGGAGAAAGGGGAACACTCCTCCATGCTCTTGGGAGTGCAAACTCATACAGCCATTTTGGAGATCAGTATGGCGGTTCCTCAGGAAAATGGGAATTAGTTTACCACAGGACCCGGCAATCCCCCTCTTAGGCATATACCCAAAGGATTCACATCCATGCAACAAAGACTTCTGTTCATCTATGTTCATAGCAGCACTATTTGTAATAGCAAGAACCTGGAAGCAACCTAGATGCCCCTCAACTGAAGAATGGTTAATGAAGATGTGGCACATCTACTCAATGGAATACTACTCTGCAGAAAAAAATAATGGTATCTTGAAATTTGCAGGCAAGTGGATGGCACTTGAAGAAACCATCCTGAATGAGGTAACCCAGTCACAAAAAAGGAACACAGTATGTACTCACTCATATATGGATTTTAGACCTAGATCAAAGATCACCAGCCTATAATTCACACAAGACAATATCCTTGATGAACAGAGACTCAAAAATATTCAGTGATATAATTGCCAACAGAATAAAGCCATACGTTTTAAAAAGAAAAAGATTATATTCCACAACTATATTGGCATAATCTCTGAAATGTTATGATAGCTCAAAACATACAAATTAATAAAAGCAATAAAATACACAAATGTACTTAAAGACCAAAGTCACATGATCATCTCATAGACATAGAAGAGGCCTTTGACAAAATCCAACATGTCCCCATATTACCAGTTTGCTTGGCACAGTAATTCACTGGTGTAGTAATGAGTAATGTCACACACACACACACACACACACACATCTTAATGGTACCCAACATTTCTCCCATTAGACTGAAGATACACCTCATAGTAGTGATCCCATGTCTGGTTGGTACTGGAAATCTAGTTAACTTATAAAGTATGAGTGAAGTCATGGTAATTAAAGGAGAATCTTTAACCTCTACTTGTTGCTCCAGACATAATCACTAAAAACAAGCTATAAATAATTGTCCTTATACCCACAGATTACTGTAGTCTTCACCCCTCATCAAGAAAACTGTTCCAGCAGACCACTAAAGTATAGTGCAACCAATCAAACTGCAGGGTTATGGATCCCAGTCCCAAGGAATATATCTGCAAAATAGATCTGCACCTTACCCTCCAGGAACACTGCAGAAGATAAGGCAGATTGACTGTAAAAGGCGAGGATTGAGGAGTTTTCTGGAAGACTGTGTCTCTTGCTGATATCAGAAGTCTCGTCAACATGCCCATTGAAACATGAACTGAACAAAGATGGCACCATTGAACATGCCAGAGTGGACTGGAGCAGCCCATGAGGCCTGAACCTTGCACAGAGAGGTGTAGGCAACTGAGGAAAGCTGGGGACAAGAGAGGGGTGGTCTTACCCAAGGAAGAACACACCAATTGGCAGTCCAGCACCAAATGGTCACCCTTGAAAACAACCTACACATAAAATTATATGGTTTGCATAGGTTGTATTTAGGAATATATATATATATATATGTATATATATATATATACATACACATATATATGTATATATATGTATTCACATATACTTCTACCCATGAAATAATAATTAATTAAAAAAATAGCCATGTATTTGAAGGAATGTTGAAAGGGATACATGGGAGAATTTGGAGGGAGAAAAGGGAATGGAGAATTATTGTGGTTAAATAATAATCTCAAAATTAGTAATTAAAATATATAATTACATCAGAACTAAAAAGATCAGGATGGTAACCCAAGCTGCAACTTTTGTTTACTATTACAACCTGGGTTCTGTGTACCCTTCCTGTAGAGAAGCAAGTCTGTTTACCCCGCATCTGATAACTATGAAAAAAAAAAAAAAAACATGGCTCACTGCTTAATTGTGTTTCTCTTTTAAAACAAAGAGGTTGTAGTAACCATGGTCCAAGAGTAAAGCTCGTGGTGCTGGTTTTTCCTACTGAAGAAAAAGTTATAGAAGATGCATAAACATAGTGGCCACAGATTTAGTTATTTAATGACTTAGGGCATAAAGTCACCCATAAAGATAATAAAACAATTATCAGGAACAACATCTGAACAATTACATGAAGACAGCCATGAACACGATAACAAGAAAGTGGAAGAGCTTGCATCTCCGTTACATTTAAAACCAGGATTTTCTAGTAGGCTCGAGGAAGGAAATTCGTATTTTAAACAGGTGGAGTTTAACCTAAATGCTTAGTGTGGCAAAGGCAGAAAGTGAAGTTCATTATTTAGACTTAGCTAGGAGAGCAAGTCAGTTTGTGTTAGGAGGAAATGTTTTAAGAGCAAAGGGTAACCTTTTCAAAAGTTCAGATCACTCCATAGAGTTTAATAAATTATGTGTTTCTACATTTGTACTGGAATTCTGAAATTTGTGAGTATTTCTTATACAATGTGACATCTGCCCCGGAAAACTTCCTTCAAAAATGCCTTAAAATTGTCATTTCCTGACCTTGCTTGGTGACACATGCCTTTAATCCCAGCACTTGGCAGGCAGAGAGGAAGGGGGATTTCTTTGAGTTGAAAACCAGCCTGGTCGACAGAGCGAGTTCCAGAACAGGCTCCAAAGCAATACAAAGACATCCTGTCTCGACAAGCCCACACCCCCCCCCCCAAAAGAAAAAGAAATTGGCATTCACTTAAAACAGAGAGAGTTTGACCTTTGAAGTAGCAGTGGCCCTCAACCAAATGCATTATTTCGTTGTCTTGTAGCAAATATTGCCACATGTAACTGTTCACTCTCTGACCACCAGGGGGCGCAGTGCCCTAACACTATGGTATTTCCTGTGTGAATTTAAGACTCATTCTGTTTTCAACATGCTAAGCATCTAGAACATTGTATAGATGCCACTAAAGATGGACTCTTCTCCAGGCCTCGTGACTGCGATACTCCTCATACTTGGTAAGTAAAGTGATTTAAACTTTATACATTTTTATATCAACAAAGTCTTGAGTACTAAGTTTATCCAAAAGCTTCTTTGTCTTTAAGGTGACATACATATCTCTTTTCTTTTCTCCAGCAAGGACCCATGGAGACTCAGTGATGCAGACATACGGTAAATTGACTCTCTCAGAAAAGGACTTTCTTACTATATACTGCAACTATTCAGCCTCGGGCTACCCAACCCTGTTCTGGTACGTGCAGTATCCCGGAGAAGGTCCACAGCTCCTCTTCAGAGTCTCAAAGGCCGATGAGACAGGAAGCAGCAGAGGTTTTGAAGCTACATATGACAAAGGATCCACTTCCTTCCACTTGCAGAAAGCCTCGGTCCAGGAGTCAGACTCGGCTGTGTACTACTGTGCTCTGAGTGACACAGTGGCAGAAACCACAAGGGGGCCGAACACAAACTCAGCACCAGGGGCCTGGCTGCTGAGCTCCTGCCTCTGTGATTGTTTTGGTTCCTGTGCTGTGTGCCTCTCCATTTCACTTGGCACAAAAGTCAAACAAACAGCCACAGCTGAAGAACAAGAAGCAGAGTCTTCCATCCTCTGCTCTTGATTGGGAGGGACCAAAGCACAATCTGACAGAAACCTGTCTCTTATGGATCCTGAGATCCCCCAGTAAAGCCCTGTGACTAACAAGTTGTCTGCTTGTCTTAGAAGTCTGTCCTCCACATCTTCTTCCACAGCTTTCTGGTAGAGCTTGCTGTATAGCAAATTTCAAGAAATGGGGCATGCCCACAAACGGCTTTTGCATAATGTTTTCTGAAAGATGGAGAGGTGACAGGACAGCTCAGTGTCCCCATACCTAGTATACCTATAGAGAAGGAAGAGGGACAAAGCCAGGCCTGCAGCACAAGCCCAGAGAGGACAGGGACTTCAACTGTGCAGAGAGAGTTTTCCTTTACTATTAGTAAGACCGGGCTAGCGTACTAACACAAGAGTGTGAGAAGCAAGGGTGGAACTTTGGAGACCTCGGGGCACTCACAGGGCAGCTGGCTCTCTAGAGTCTCAGAAGTGGTTTCAGTGCTTGAGGGGAGGGGCAAGCACACACCATATGCCGTCACACAAAATATATGTAGCATAAACGGGATGCGGTCTACACTCTCACACGGTGTTTAAATGGCTTTCTGATCTTTCTAGAATACAACTCCGAGTTCAGGCTGTAATATCCAATGTTCCACAGGATTTGTGCATGCCTGAACTGTCAACGTGAGCTTTTTGTGGGGCTAGGTCCCAGCTCTCCGTAGCAGCAATGCTGGTTTCTGTTCAGCATTCTGAATTTCTCAGATGGGGTCCAACTCTTTTCCAACAGGAAACACTCTCCACAGAAAACTTCATAAACCAGCTCTGCCAACTTCAAATCTTAGCTCCGGAGTCACTTCTGTGAAGAATCTACAGATTTTGCTGGTCTTCCTATGTAACGTTATATAACCCTTGCATAGTCATAGGCCTCCTGTTATTCTATCATACTCTGCTCCTCTTACTCTATCATAATCCTCCTGTTACGCTGACATAGTCCTCTTCTTACTCTGTCATAGTCCTTTTGCTATGAAATTGTGTCTCCCAGAAATCACAGGAGACTTCACTTGGGAGATTTTACTTTAAAAACATACAGTTAAAGGTTGCTGTTGTGGCCAATGGACTGGTAAAACCATCTTCCCATTCTCTCTCTGCTGTGACTACAAGGTTCTTCCCACACTCACTAGTCATCTGTGCGTGCAGCACTAATTTATTTCACAAGAGTTCTTATTGTTGAATTGTATCATAGGCATCTTGTTCACATGTGTAAACAGAAGTAGTAATTAATGTCCATAAATAAATATATTTCTCATCTTCATGTAAAGGCCAAGCAGACCACCTTTGTAGATGCTAACCTTTTGATAGCAATTTAGAGTGACTGGCTTGTCTTTCTGCTCACAGCACAGGACATTTTCCAACAGAGCCCCAGCCGATTGTGTTGGACTCAGTATAAAAAAGCCAGACACTACACAAGTCTAACACCTTTCCCCTAGGAATCCTGACTGCAAGGTTTAGTCCTCTGGGTCTCACTCAGCAAGACTGAGCCAGCTCCAGTGTGGCTCCGCCCCTTCTAAACCCCTCTAATCCATCACCTTGCAGCTTCAACTCAGGATTCATCATCAGTGAGCTAAAATGTCATATCAAAGACACAACCAACAACCTAACTGTAGATGTAAGGTCTCATAGGAAAAACAGAATAATAAAACTCAAGACAATATGTCCTCTCTTAAAAAGAACAACAACAACAACAACAAAACAAAATCAAACAAACACACAAACAAAAAAAAGCAGCATGTTCTAGTGGTCCCTAATGAGAACAAGTTAAATGAAACTGGAGAACTTGAATCAAAAAATAACCATGAAGATGGTAAAGGGATTCATGAATTCCCAAATAAACTCTCTAAAAAGGTAATAGTGAACAGAAATAAAGTCCTGAGTGATCCAAGAAAACTCAAATAAATAACTTAATGAAATAATGTGGACTATTAAGGATATAAAAACTTTATCAATAAGGAACTAGAAATGCTGAATACGAGGGTTCTTTGATAATGGTTAAAGTAATCATATTATTCTGCATTACCTACACTTATATTTGCATATATCATATCTTATATATTCACATATCTACATGTGTTGTATATTTATAATGTATATATATACATATATATTTAAGATACACATATCATAAAAGAACATATATTATCTTAAACATATATAGGAATAAGATAACATCTATCCTAATATGATAATATATAAATCTCAATAAAAGAATATGGTATTGTTCCTTTATATATAAGCACATCCTCATCTTAAGGGAAATTAAGCCATTTTTCTGACAGTAACCCCACAAGAACAATAGACTAACAAAAATAACAGTACTTGGTATGAAGAATCTCCTTTTGAAAGGTTAATTGGGGTTTCAGTCTAAGTGACTCCCAAAATAATATAGATTACTGATGCCTCTCAGGGTTGCCTCTCAGGGTTGAAGCCACTATTGCTAAATACAACCCACACTTAGGACAGAGGACTGAAAAGCTCTTTTCTGTGGTCTATCCTTCATGGTTTCAGAAAATACTATGCAATCTGCCAAGGGACAATGTATAAAATGATAAATTACCTAATCAGCTGTTTCACCTATGAACCATGGAAATTGCTAGTATGGCTAAAATATCCATAAGGGTACAATAAGGACATTCACAGGTTGCTGGCAACCAATAACTGCCTATTTGACTTAAGGTCCACCATGAGGAAAATCATGCCTGGTACTGGAAACCCGGCATGCTTCCTGGGCTGGTGAGGTCATGGACCATAGAAAATAATTACTGCCACCACTTTGCTATATGAGCAGAATTTCTTACTACATTCCAAATCTTATCCGTTTACTCACAGACAAGTGCAGTTACTGCCCTTCATCAAAGAAACCTCTCTTTCGAGAAAATATAGGTCATCACTGATGTAAGTTAGGCTCTCTGCTCAGCTCAGCTGCAGCAGGTTGCAGCAGCTTGTATCCTCAGCTGCTGCCGCCAAGTGTGGCTCATTGTCACTGTCCCAACACAAGCTCCTTTGAAAGTCCCTCTGGACTTCATGGCTCTCTCTTGTTCGGTCTTTCCTGTCTTCTCACCCAGTTTCTCTGTCTCCGGGTCTGGCTTGCTGTCTGTTTCTATCTTTCTCCCATGTCTTCATTTCTAGATGGCCTTCAGCACTGCACCTTCCACCAATAAAACTCTTGTGCTCGATCTATTGCTGGGATGATCTCTTAGCAGCACTCCTTGGCCTGGCTTCCAAAGGTACATTTCTGTACGTTATTCTAATTATCACCCAAAACAAAACAAAGCAAAAGTACAACTGGACACATGAAGAGAGGATTATGGGTGGGAAGTCCAGCCCTAATACATACATCTACTCCTGTGTCTGTGGCTCCGGGAACATGACTAAAGAGGAAGCATAACAACTGCAAGGGGCAGAATACCAGGATGGCTGCTGTGAAACAGTCTTTCCTAGAAATGGCTGGATAAGCAAGACCAGAACCACGCCAATATCAATAGGCATGTTTCGAAAGAAGGAGGAAAACTTTCAAGTGTCAATCCCAGACATAAAATTATAAGCATCAAGTAACTGCTGGGAGAGGAGAATTAGTCTCTCCCAGGGATGAGACGCTTATTGGTTGTCAAATGCAGATGGGTAGCTCTCAAGCCATACACACATAAGCAACAAACACAAAATTAGCAGGCTGTGTGTGTGTGTGTGTGTGTGTGTGTGTATACATATATATATATATACATATGCACATATATATGCATACAATCACACACACATTTGTAACAATAATAATAAATGAATGCTATCAATTTGAGAGTTGGGGAATTCAGTGGGGTCTGAGAGAGAATAACTGAGTAAATTGAGGGAAGAAAAGGAGGGTGAAGTGATGTAATTTTATTTCAATTAAGCCCATTTTTTCATGAATTGAAGTTAGAGATAAAAAAGTAAATAAATCGAACAAAAATTCAGTGGATTTATTTACAGGTAATATTTTAAATGTTTATTTTTTAATGCTTCTATTATAAAAGTTGACTGTCAAAAAAAACTTAAAATCTTATAAAGACATTAGAAATGGAGATATTTTTTAACTAACAGGATTAGTGGAAAGCCTCTCCAGTCTAGTGGGTCACACAGGAGGCAGAACATCAGGGCTAAAGTCAAGGAAAATGATGAATATGAAACCTTTGCACAGAATACTCATGAACTTTGCAACATAAAGTGGTTGGAGTAAAAGAATACGTATATTCTCCAGATTATATTCATATCTTATGTATTTGAGTATGTATATATGAATAAATATAAATGTGAATAATTATATGTATACCATTATATAATATCAACCATTGTGAATTGTTGATCTTACACAGGCAATATAAATTTAGAATGTTCTCACAGTATTAGAGGTACATTAGTAGGAGCAAATAATCATTAGACACCATTTCTTCATAGTCACTAATGATGGGAGAGGATATAGGTATTCATGCCTACGCTGGTAAAGAAATGACAAAATTAAAGATTTGTGTATATATATTTTTTCTTATTTTACATATCGATCCCAGTTCTCTCTCCCTCCCTCTCTACCTGCCATGCCCCTGAAACCCCACCCATCCCATACAGCCTCCCCCACTCCACATGGGGGGGTGATGCCTTCTAGGAGGAATCATCAATATCTGTCTCCCCGAGCCCCAGCAAGCCCTTAAATATGCACTCACTGCCCAGTCAGCTCATGCCACTTGGCGATCCCAGATAGGCCACAGAAGGAGGAAGTGAACCAGATCCATCAAGCACTTCCAAATAAGGCTGGTTTACAGCTAAACTCGGACTACCTGGCATCTAGCCAGGTGCCATCTTGGGGCTGTGGCTTCCCACAGTTCCCCCTTTTTGTTTTAAAGGCAACAGGCAAGGGGAGATATCTGATCTCTGATGAACAAGGGACATTGTAATGGCCCCATGCCCAGTTATCAGTCAAGCTGGTGCCACACCTTTCCGGTATCTTTT